TTTATAAAACAGGCCTCAAAGGTGACGTTTAAAAGGGGAGAAAGGCAACTCTGCTGATTGTTTTTGGGGGTGGAATCAATGTTGAACCCAAATGCGCGAGCTTCCCCACTGTGGAAACACACTTTGAAACGTGCGTTCAATGGAGGGTCTGAGCCATCCCCGTTTGGTTTCCTTTGGGACAAGTGGCAGTTGTGGGTCATTTGGAACCTGGACATGTCCGATTCCTGCCAAGGACCTGATCAAAGTTTCCGCCCAGGTTCTAGGCCCCCTTTTCAACCCGGAAAGCATCACCCCCCCCCAGTAAACGTGAAACACAGCAACACGATCCTTTCAGCCGGAATCTTTTGGGGGGAACCCCTCCTCCCAACACACTCTCGTTGCCTGAGTCCAAACTGACTTATCAGATGATCTCTACCTGGGGCCTGAAACGACTAAAAATAAATGGTTAGGAAAGCAGCAGAATCTGCATGGCAGGGATGTACTCACAGCCGGTAAAATGACTTGCAGCCCAGCCTAAGCAAGAATAGTAAGTCCATATGACAAATTAAGAGCACAACAAAAGAAGCGGGAAACCTTAGTTTGTCGCCATGTGTTTGCCAAAATGGATGACGCGCATAGGTTCCTTCGGTGTGGGGACCAAAGATTCTTCAATGCTAAAACTGCGAACCGAAAAGAATCATATTTGGTAAAAGGCCCACGCAAAGTGTCTTCTTCAATGCTCGCATGCAAAAGTCATGCCAACGTTGCACTGAAATAGTGAACCGCGGGGCTTGTACCCAAAACGAGCAAATTTACTGTTGTCCCAAAACCCGCGGCTTAGAAAACACGTACTTTGGGAGGTTGGGGTGTTTTTTTTTGACTAGCCCTGGTTTTTGGCTAACCCTGGTTCCAGGCACTGGCATTATGGGCAAAGTTTTACTCTGCGTCTTTGGCTCTTTTCTTTGCGACAAACAATTTAAAAAAAAAACAGAGCAGGGGGGTTGGGGGGGGGGGCGGCAGCCCCCTCCATAATGGTTGCAGTAGTGATGATTCGAAAAGGGGTGCAATTAAATCCCTGCAAAA